CCTCGAGGCCCCGCGGCGCGGCACCGCGGCGGCGGCCTTGGACGTGTCCAGGCGGAAAGAGGGTGAGCGAGGAGAGGGGAAGGAGGGCGCGCATCTTTTAGTGGCAAAGTCAAGTGGGAGGTGCCACGACACAATCGCGCAACGGGGCACCGAATCACATGGTCGAGTCCCCGAAATACGCAGGCCGGCCCGCCCCCCCACAGGTAGTGTGAGGGCCGCCTGCCACCTGTAGTGCTGGCCGTTACACTCTAACTACCCCTGACTCGCCCTGCCCCGCGTGTCGCGGGCTTCTGCCGTTGGGGGGGCGTGCGCCGCAACCGCTCGGTCCCGGGGCGGAGACGAGCGAACCGGGGACGGCGGGGGACGGGGACAACCCCCCTTTGCGTTGGTTGCAGCGAACGCCCCCCCCGTATGTAGCCTCTAGCGCCTCCAGGGTGCTCGCCGTGCTGGGCGTCGGCGCGGTCCTGCCAGGTGCGGCGCTGCGGCGACTGCTCCAGCGAGCCAGCCGGGGGGGGGCGCCAGCTAGCGGCGCGCGTCGGCGAGCCGCGACAGCGCGGTAGGGCCCGCGCGCGCGCGACGTCCAGGCCGAGCTTGCGCAGCGGGGCAGAGCGGACCCGCTCCTTTATGCCGTCGATGGGGACCGCGTAGAAGCCAACGACGACGTCGTTCGCGTCCAGCTTCGCGGTCTCTGGGGTGGGCACGGACTGCAGCCAGTCGATGGTCGCAGAGCCTCGGCTGCCAACTCCTCGAACGATGCAGGCCGCGTTGCAACGCGCGGCCCCTGGCGGCGCTCGCGGCGGCGTTCCCTGGCGCAGGGCCACGGCAGTGGTGCCGTGGGCGCGGGCGTGCGGCCGCGCTGCAACGCACAAGAGGCGAAGCAGCTCAGTGTGGTACTGCGTCGCGGCAGCCACGACGCCGGCGCGGCGGGTGCGGAGCCGCCCGAGCGTGACCTGCTTGTCATCCGAGTCGAACGTGATCGCGCCCAGGAGCGCCGCGAGGGTGCCTGCGTCCACGGAGCCCAAGCGCAGCGCGGTCAGGGCACGGCGTCGCCGGTCGTTGTGCGCCCAGTCCTCCTTGGCGGCCGCCACGGCAGCTGCCCGAGCCCCGGCGTCCATGCGGAACGAGGCGGGGAAACGCGGCTCTGCCGCACTGAGGTTGTAGCGCCGGGACAGTGCCGCTGCCTCGGCCTGCTTCTCCGGTTCTCCAAGTCGCGAGAAAGCGTCCGCGGGGTTGCTCTCGGACGCGACCCATTCGATCCACAATTCTACGCCGAGGACTCCCAGCAGGAGCCAGATCGCTCCGACGATGTCCTTGCTGTGATCGTCGTTGGCGGCGCCGCTGAGGATGTTTTCAAGCGCGGGCGTGTTGTCCTCGAAGAGGATCAACCGGGCCCCGCGGAGCTCGTCGGGGCAGGTGAGGAGCAGCACCAGTACGGCGAGCAGCTCGGACTGTGTGTTTCGCTGCTTCTTGCCGACCCTCAGCAGCTCCGCGCACAGGTGCTGCGGGATGTGCGCCGAGAAGCTGCGGCCGCTGCGTTGCGAGGACAACAGCATGCCCCCGATGGCCCCCGTGCCGGTGTCCATGTCCCATGACCCGTCGACCCATCCGAGGACGACGGGCCGCTGGTCGCCGTGGACGCGCCTGTAGTATATCGGGCAGCGCAGCAGCGCCTTCCACCACGCCAGCGCGTCAGCGAGGCGTTCGGACCAGCCGCCTCGGTGCGCCGACACGTTGGGGGCGTATACTCGGCCGATACGGCCGAACATTGCCGTGGTGGCGATGCCCATCTGTCCTCCGAGTCGGGCCGCGTCGCGCCTGCTGAAGCGGCGCGCGCGGAGCGCGGAGTCCACGTCCGCGGCCAGGTCGTCGCGCCGCTTGACGGTGAGGCGCAGTCCCGCCCAGTGCCCGGTGGAGATGACGTCCAGTCCGAGCAGATCCAGCACGGCCGCTGGTCCCTGGTTCTTGCCGTCCTTGAGCGGGATACCGAGCATGGCGTGCAGCTCCTGGAACGCCCATTCGTGCAGGGCGGCCCACCTGGCCGGGGAGGCGCGGTGGAAATCGTCCACATACGCGTTCTGGGGCACGCTGAAGATGCGGCGGAGCGGGTGAATCACGCTGGCGGCGACGCGCGTGTACCCCCAGACTGCTCCGAAGGCCCCGAAGGGGAGCGCCTTGTGCGCGAAGGCGCGGAATCCGCCCTCTGGACCCACGGTGTCGTCCCAGACCAAGCACACCAGCAGTGGAATGTCATCTGGATGTACCGGCCATTGTCGGTAGGCCTGCGCGTGGTCGCCCTTTGCGATGAGGGGGGCGCCGTCATCGCCCCACTCGTGGAACTCCTCCGCTATGAACGCGACCGCGTCGAGGAGAGAGGCGATGCCTGCCATCCTCATGCGCTCCTGGGTGGCTGCTGCGAGGTTCAGGCCGCTTGCCGTGGCGTCGTCTATGGGCCGGACCTTGTATGAAGTGGCCGTGCGGTTCTGGACGCGCGGGAAGCGCCGCGTTGGTAACCATCTGGCAAACGGCACGGTGGAGCGCACCTGGCCGGTGTGGTCGAGCCATACTTCCCAGGGCCCATCGAGCTTGCCCGACACGCGCTCGGCCTCGGTGACCCGGAGGACCTCGGCCATGTCTGGCTCCCGCTTAGTGTTCAGGAGCATTTCCCGAAGTGCGGCATCTCTGTTGTCCAGTGCCAGCTCGAGAGCGCTGTCCAGCTCGGCGGCGTCAGGCAGATCTGCGCTGTCGGTGTGCTCGTAGAGCCGCGTGTCTGGGAGGACGCCCCGCATGCGGAAGCCCGCCATGATGTCGGCGATGACCTCCGTGTCGTCATGGCCGGAAGCCAGGAGCAGCTCCCTGTGCAGCGGGCCGTTGTATGTTGGCGGCAACACGTCTTTGACGTGCTGTGAGAGGCCGGCGCGCCAGGCGCGCGTCGCATCGCTCAGGGATGCCTCGGCGCGCCTCCAGTGCTGCACCTGCCCGATTACCCAGCGTTCGTAGTCGGGGCAGTCGCGCGCCCAGAGCAGTGCGCCGCGGGCCCACGGAGCATCCGCGAGGTGCCGCCGGCGGGACCGAGGACATGCTCGTTCCACCTGCCGGCCGCCCCCGCGGGCCGAAAGGCCAGCTTAGATTGCTCGCGGCCGCCCTGGGTTAAATGCCTGGGGCGCGCCGCGGGCCCACGGACCGTCCGCGACGTGC